TAGGGCTGCGAGAGAGACACGGCGCGCCCCGCAGCCCTGCGGGGCCCTCCGCTCCGCCCTTATCTCCTCCCTCCCAAAACGCATCCAGGCGGGACCTCTGCAGGCAGACCCTCCCCCCCTCCCTCCCTTCCCTTCCCCCCCTCCCTTCCCCCCCTTCCCCCCCCTCCCCTTTCCCCTTTCCTCCCCCCCTCCCTCCCCCCCTTTCCTCCCTCCCTCCCTCCCCTTTCCTCCCTCCCCTTTCCCCTTTCCTCCCTCCCCCTTCCCTTACCTCCCTCCCTTCCCCTTTCCTCCCTCCCTCTCCTCCCTTGAGACACCGTCTAAGTTAGCAACACACTACCTCCAACGCGCCAACTGAATCAGCCGCACTTAAATTCTTATAAAATTGCGCCATAGCCCAGCTCGCTGACTGGGCCGCCATGACCCACCAGCGGAAATGCAATCATTTTAACGGGACCTAACCCCGGTCCATGCCGGCGCGGCCAGCCTAGCCGGACAAAGAGCAAAAAGGGCTCTTGCCTTGCCAGGCCTTGCCCTGAGCCGTTAGCTGCACTCAAGCATCTCACCGGCCTCGGCCAGTCTCGGCCAGCCTCGGCCAGCCCTGACCAAAGCCCGGCCGGTGAACAGGCCATAAGGCGGAATGGCACGGCTGGGGCCAGCGCACGGCACGGCACGGCACGGCACGGCACGGCACGGCCTCCACTCCGACCTAATGGACCAACGGCCGGCCAGCGGTGGCCAGGGCCCTGCAAGGCTGGCCAAGGTATACGAGATGAGAGTCATCATCGGCTCCTTCCCGCCCCGCTGCCCCCGCTGCCCCCTCGGCCGCTCCGCCCGGCAGCGGCGACCACCGGACCTCCTAATGCCTCGTTTTTGTGCTGGCGGTCTCTTTTTAGCGGGTCCTTCATTTCTATGACGTCACACTTTGCACGTACAAGTTGGTAAAGGAACAGAGAAGGCACAGTGCGATTTCAGCGACGATTTTCTCGCCAACATGACAGTGAGACCTTCCGCCGATTGTTGGTTGTTTGAATTGACTGCCTATTTAAATAGCGCATACAAGAGGGTCGGTCTCTTGTGCACTGCGGTTGCCCACTGCGGTGGCAATCTGGTATTGCTGCCGCACCCCACCCACGTCGTGTCTTCGGCGGCCTCCCGGGCAAGCGACGCATTTTGTGCGCGTGCGAGGAGAGAGAGAGAGAGAGAGAGAGAGAGAGAGAGAGAGAGAGAGAGAGAGAGAGGGCGGCGCGCACCCCCCCCGGTGTACCTCCCGGCACGTCGCTCGGCACGGCTCCGCAGCACTGCGCACTGATGGGTGGATCTTTCTTACCCTCCCTCTGCCGTTACGCACCACCCCCGTGCCGTGCCGTGCCGTGCCGTGCCGTACCGAGCACGAAGGTGGAAGGGAGGTGCATTCAACAAGGAAAAAGGTTTCTCCCCTTTCTCTTCGTCGCTAAATTCGAGCTTGCATCGGCCTGGTGTCGGTTATTACCGCTGTCCTCTCAACAGTCAGTTCGGCCTGTTCGTGTCAACAGGACAAACATTGACCAAAGCAGGTAAACCTGACGTCATCTGACGGAAGAAAGAGAGAGGCTGAAGCGGACTGGGGCCTAAATGGCCCTGCACGGCGAAAGTTCGTAACGCCTGGGATTCGCAGGCAGCTCGGAAAATAACAGTGTGTTAGTGTTGGTGCGCCGCGCCCGTCAGTCCGTTTCCTCGTTCGTCGGAGTGCTCGCCATGTCGTCGGCGTGTCTGCGAACTCTTACATTAGCATCATGTCAAGAGATTCATCAAGGACACACGGCCCTCCGCCAAATTTAAATTTAAAAGAGTAGCGGGGGAGGCTGAAATAGGGGGGGGGGAGGCTGCCTGCCTGCCTGCCTGCCTGCCTTGGCTCCCGACGGAATGAGTAGAGTAAAGGATCGCGGGGGCCTGCATGAGAAGACATGCGGCTCACCCCGCTGAGAACACGTCGGGAGGGTGGCGACCCGCACAGCGTGGTGGCACACCACTAGACACACACACGTGGGGTGTCGTGGGACGGGGCGCACAGGGGCCAGAAGACCGGTGGAGGCGGCCGAAAACCCGGACGCGTTTGGAGCTCCAGAGTCGCTAAATGGGACTCGAACCCAACGTGTGACCCCACCTATGGATTGCTCTCCAAAGGAGGAATCCATTGGTGGGGGCACACGCTCGGTTCGCGTCCCATTTAGCAACTCCGGAGCTCAAAATGCGTTTAGAGTTTTTGGGCCCTCGGCGCCGGTTTTTGGCCCACTGTGGGGCGCGCGGGGGGGACATTTGGCTGCGCGATGCCATCTGGCCAGCACAATTTTATCCCACTCTGAGCCCCTCCAGCGCCTCGCGC